GAGAGAAAATAAGTAATTATTCCAGGTCCAAAATGTGCCATCGAGAAATGGCTTCATAGTGGTTCCAGTATAAGCAACAGTAGAAGCTGCAATTGGCTTATTAATAATGTTGAAAAGAGGCTGACATTTGCAGCACAATTATCAGGTAGACAAACTAAAAGGTTTATTTATTAACAGTATGATTCATGGTATTCAATGTTGGATTGTCATAGGACAAATTCTTGTATTAAGAACCTAACTGTAATGAGGACATTGAATTGGACTGTACCGAGGCTCCATTGGCTTGAAAATCCATTAATCAAAAGATTATAAGAAGAGAGAAGGAAAGAATCAAAAAGAAGAAGGAAAGTGTTGAGTCTAAAATGAAGAAGGGAAAATTGAGTCATATATTTTAAAGAAAAAAGAAAATAAATAAAAGATTCAATAAGAACCGTTCGGTTCCCGACAGTTCCCATACTAGAACTGGGAATCGGACCGGAACCGATCGGTTCTTAATAATTGGTCCCGGAATCAAATTATTTTTTAGAAGATTCGAAATCGAACCGGCTAGTTCTAAATAGTTCCGGAAAAAAAAGCCCACTCCTAAGAGAACTTGAAAACATTTACCACCACTACCTGCAAACTACAATAAGGTCAGCAGAATTAATGTTATTTTATCTAGTAAGAGCAAAAAAATATGTGTCAACGATTGAACAAACAAAGAGAACAAATACAATAAGCGCAACGATTGGAGCACAAAATATAAAAATCCCAATATATATATTCACACATTCAAACCGTCATTACAACTTTTATAGAGCCCAAACTTCGCTTTGGCACAACGGACGGAAGAGAATTTTACAAAAATTGCAAAAGAATTTTCGAACCTTAGGATGCCTCAGGATCACGAAAGAAAAGAACATTCAAACCCAAAATATAAAATCAACCAAAAGAAGAACACAAACACAAAAGTCCACAACAGATTGGAAGCCCCACAGAAATCAACTTGAAAAAATTATACAAACTATAAGTGGGAAAAAGAAGGAACTAACTTGTTAGAAAAAGCAGCCCGAAAACACCGAAATCCTAGCATTGGATACTAAGCAAACAGCTGAAAAAAAAATATAAAACAGATTAGTCCATACGTAAAGAAAATAGAATAGAAACAGAAATAGTATGCATACATGGAGAAAAGAAAGAACCCAATGAAACTCAGAGAGAAAAAAGAGTTAGGCAGTAGCGTGTGAAAATGGAGAAGAAGAAAAAAAGATCCACCTAAACTAAGGACAAGTAGGTGCATCACTATAGCTTGCATTTTTTTTTGCTTGCAGACGGCGTCGTTTTTGCTCTAGAGATAAAAATTTTTTTGCTAGAGTGTGTAAAAATGGAAGAGCAGACGGCGTCGTTTTTGCTCCAGAGATAGAAAAAAAAGTTGCTGTAGTGTGTGAAAATGGAAGAGTCTATTGTTCTTTCTGACGTAGTGAAACATTGCCCTTTTTATATAAGTTTTGCTACAGTGTGTGAAAATGGAATAGTAGACGACGTCGTTTTTGCTCCAGAGATTAAAAAAAAAAAAAAAAAAACTTGTTACAGTGTATGAAAATGGAAGAATCTACTGTTATTTTTACAGTAGTGAAACATTGTCTTTTTATATAGTAATGACATGATCTAATATTTCATGTAGATTAGTATGACTATGGTTGCGTGAACCAATAGTTTGCTGGTTGTGTGTGCTTATGTTCTGAGTCTGCCTAGCCTACACGTTATCTTCTTGAACAGTCGACATGGGAGCTTTCAATGCCCTACTGTCTATGGCTTTCCCTTTATCACCCGCGGCCTGTTTGTTAAAGTTGCAACCAAGAATTGAGTGTCCAAATACGTTACAAGAACCACAAAACTTCGGCTCATGCTCAAAAAAGATTTCTTATTCCCTTTAAGTAGCCATTTGGAAGCCTTATCCTTACTATCCGCAGTAGCTCGAGAAACGCATCAACTTCAACTAGTGCTCTCACATAAGATAGTCTACCTCTTGTTGACATGATCTTGTTAGTAGAAATGGGTTTGCCAACTTTGGAGATAATTTTACCCAAAGCATTTGTGTTTCAAAACTCCAAAGGGAATCTCAGTAAGTTAATCCAACCAGCATAGTGCTAACTTCTTTGTCATCAAAATCAAAATAACGAGGCATGACTTTAAACATTAATCTCTCCCAAATTCTAGGTAGGGACCTCCATATAGCACACTTAATCTTTCCAAGTCCATCTCAAATTTGAAAACCAACCACCCACTCTAGTGCACATAATACTGGTACTTAACATTCCAAGAGTCATAAAATAGGAGTAAGGCCCCGAAAATCTATTGGAAAAATACCCTACAAGACAATATCCCCAAGCCTTCTCAATATTATCGGCATCCGATTCACACAAAACCACTTCTTTTGATTGATTTTCAAAGGCCTTCAACTTGATATCTTCATTTAATTTTCTATTGTCCTAAAAGAGGTTCACCTATGGCGAGGAGTTATTTTATAACCCTGTTTACTGATGGATTGTTGTGTAATGTACAAGAACCCTTAAATTCTCCGCTCCAAGTTTTTTTATTGATTTTCAGTTTATTTCGATGTCCTTTTGATGATAGATGCATGAATTTTTGTTTGCTTGAATGTTCAAGGTAAAAATAATACTGCAAATGTTTAGTAGCCTGCACTAGGATTCTGATAGTAGAGAAGTAGCCAGCTTTAATAGTTTAGGGCCCCTTTTGGTCTAGGTAGACTAAATCGATAGGATAGTCTTACTCCTCTTCAGATTGAAAGATAGGAGGCTCATTTTCGAGGATTTCAGATGGTTCCTAACTCATTTTTTTTTTTCAAGCTTACTTAGCTCATTTTGAAAGATGCGAGTTGCAGTAGGTTTCTATAATATTGTCAAAATCTTAGAACATGAATCTTATGAATAATGGTCGATCATCACCCTACATCATATTACACCGACATTAATTATAGATCCAATTAAATGCAAGAACGTGAATTCCATTTTATTGGACTTATTATTCAATGTCATAAATATGATCAATCATCATGATGATAAATATCAATACTTAAATCTTAACGAAAAACAAAACAAAAATACATGCAACCTCCAATCCATTAGCTCCTCGTGCCCCCAAGCCAACCAACAGACTTGTTGTGTAGTTCTTCCTTTAAGTTGTTCATATTACGTTATATGTCGTTCTGAACCAACGTGTAACTGTTTGGGTATTGAGCGTTTTGCAATTTGAGAAAGACTCTGAGAATTGATGTCCTGGGCTCGTTTGACAGACGTAGCTATGTTGCTGTCATTGTCATATAGGCTAAACATATAGAATATAGGTCACAATTACAAGAATGGCTTGGAAGTTAGCATTATCCAACGACATTTAGGCCTATTGGTTATCGATAATCATTCTGATCTTAAGGTGTGCTTTGGTTTAATCGAAAAAGTTATTCGCTTGATAAAGTGTTACATTGCTGTTGTGTTTCATAATTATGTCCATCACTTTTAATTGTAAATGTTCGATCATCGGATCAAGCTTATCGAATGCTAAGATGCAATCTTTGATAATTTGTAGTGGGCAAATGAGAAAAAGGCTACTTTAAAGTGGTTTATAGGCTTTGAGTGCCATGTGAGTGAGATTTAATTAGTGATTGTTCATATCCTTTAGATGTTGTAAGCATGATTACTACAGCTTTTAACTTAATTGACTTGATTATGTGCGGCTACTTAGAATTCACATAATCATTGCAATATTGTTTTTAAATTTGCTTATCATTTGATGTTCAAAATAATGGTTCCATGACATAATTTGGAGAGATACTGATGTGTGACCCTTGGTTGCTCTCTGACCTTTAGCCGTCCATCTCATAGCGAGCTCTCTCTTGATTACTTTAGGGTTACAGCACTTCCACTTTTGCTTTTACTTCTTAGAGATGATTTTATTTTTATTTTTTTTGAAAGTTACCTTATATCAATTTTATCTAAAAGCTTTTCTATTAAGATAAAATACATTCAAAAAATTATTCAAACGTGTTCAAATGCTGCTTTTTAATCTCAGAAGTAGAAGGTAAAAGTTCAAGAAGGATTGTCATGAACTATCCATGTTTTCGAGGACTAATCTCTTCTTTAAATGTTCATTGCTTAGGGATTCAAAACTTTATTGCTTGCTACTATTGGTAGTGCAATCGAGCATCATCTAAGGAAGGAGCTTCCAATTTCCCATTTCGACTATACGAATATGTGCGCTTTGAAACTTGAGAACCAAGATTTTTGAAGATCAAAACCTAGAAGTGTCGAGGGTTGATCTCTTCAAAATTAGGATTTGAAATACATTCAAGTGTCATGTGTGCTAGTCTCTCTTCTCGAAGAGAAATCAATAAGCTATTTTTATTAATCGAAATGAAATATAAGTTCTCATTTTAACAGTAAAATAATAATTATTTTAAAATTAGTAATCTATTTTGCATAAATCCAATAAACATATAACTTTAGTACTTTACTTAGACCCCCTTGAGAATAAAATTTAAATTTAATAATTAATTTAACTACGTATTTTATTGAACTTAAAATATTTTAATTATATATTTTATTATTTTTTATTAAAATTTAATCCCGACAAAAACATCAACTTATTACTAAAATGTAATTTTTTAATCAAACAATTATTATGCTCCTTTTCAAACAACCATGATATATTAACATTAAGGTTGACATAAAGTTTGTATAATGTCATGTGACAATCTATTATTGAATAATTTAAAATAATTTAATTTTTTCATTCAATTATTGAGTGTCACATGTAATTGTGTCAAACTTTTTGTCAAGTCAACTTTTTCATCCAATTAAAGTTATATCAAGGTTTTTGTCAAGTCAACTTTTGACTTTTTGATCCAACTAAGGTGGTTCAGACACCACCTTACCCACACGCACGCACCCAAACGGGCCAAACCCCTCCGTCTGAGCGTCTCTATAAATTTTACCGAAATCAAATGCAAATAAAAATGTTAAATACATATAAAACTAACAAGAAGCAGAAGCAGCAGTAGCTTGATTTATGGCGGTGAATATTCGTAATGCTGTAATAGCATTTCTAGTTCCTCTTCCTTCCATTCTCTTCTATCTCTCTTTCCTCGGCCAATTCCGTGATCATCCTCTCATTGCTCCAGCAGGCGAAAGCAATTCTCTTTCGCCTTTGTGGATATGGTGCTATCAACACCCACTACTATTGGCTAACGCCCTCTTTTTCCTCAATGTTAATCTTTCTTTCTGGATAATTGGGCTTCTCCAGTCGAGCCATTGGGTGGGTAGTTAAGCTTTTGAATTCTTGTGTATCAATTTTTAATAGCTTTAATCTTATTGATTTTGGGGATTCAGCGGATTCCATTTTAATCTAATTTAATAGCTCAAGCCCTTATATGGATTATTATTTTCAAATTTAAATATTTTGGGATTTTACGGCCTTTTAGTATGTTCCTGATTCCCGAAATATGGTGGCTAGATTTGAAATTTTTTGTATTTTTCTGTTGATTTGAGCATTAAATAGGTTGTGAATTTCCATTTGAGCTCTGATACTGAGTTCCATCGTAAAAGATGAATTCTGTGTATAGGAGTAGCCCAAAATTGATTATAAATTTTCATTGACTTTTAACATTGGGTGCAGATGATAGATCTGTATTGGACGGTCATCCCATTGTTGCTGGTGCATTACTTTGCGACTCATCCATTGGCAGAATATAATCTTTTAAGGTCGAATCTTGTGATATTTTTGACTTGGACTTGGAGCGTTCGACTTACTCATAACTACTTCCGCCGGGAAGAATGGCAGTGGGGTGCTCGGGAGGACTGGAGATTTACCGATATGAGGCGGCAATATGGCAAAAACTGGTGGTGGGTTTCTTTCTTTGCCGTTTACCTATCTCAGCAGGTATAATACTGTTCCTTTTATCTGAACGTTCCATAACTATTAGGGATATCTGTTTGATGAAATGTCTGAACTACGTAGTGCGTATTTGGCTTAGCTTAAAAATTTTACTTATAAATAAGAAATAAATAATTTTCTTTTGTCAAAGGCTAATTGGCAAAAAACGTGTCCCGAACGTTTGCCCTCATTGTGATCCTATGGTTTCAAATTTTGCATTTGCATCCTCAATTCAAACTATAATTTCGAAATGGCCCTTTCCGTTCGTCCATTTCCTCCTTCAAATAGGCACGTGAACCCTTTTTGTTTAAATGTTTGATTCTCTCTTTTACTGACATTTAAGCTTAGCCATATATGCTCACGATTGAACAGATGAATGTCTTATTCTCTCTTTTACTCCAAAAAATCTTGCTGTTGTCCTTTCTATTGTCTAGTAGTTTAGAAATGTGTGAAGAGCACTACATGGTGAAATCCGAAGACCAAAATAATGTAATCAAATATTTAATTAATAATAAAATTTGAGATGAGAATTTCTGGCCTTTGGAGACTCATATTGAACGTTTCCCCATCGTAGTGGCCTACCTTCTTGCAGTACTACGTATTGAAAAGAAAAGATTCCTTTTGACTCTTAGCAGATTCTCTTATTTTGTGCACAACGAGAGAGGGGTACTGAAGAAGCCATTTTCCCATTACCCGAAATGCAAGATAATAATATATGGTAAAGCTTGGATATAATTGAGTGTGTATATTTTACTTTCCGAATTAAAAATATAATGTCGAGTGTATAGATACTTTGACCCCCTTTATGTAGTGTTAACATGTCAGATGATTGCTAGACCCTCATTTGCATACATTGTAATAACCGGATGAAATGTATAGCATGTTTGGTAGAGATTTTAATCCAATTAAAATCAATTTTTTGACTGTTATTTTACTATTTCAACCGTCATTTTTGAAATCTTCTTCATATGTAGGACCTACTTTACCTTTAACGGTCAAAAAATCAAATAACAAAATCCCTACCAAAAAGCACATAATATAATAACAGCAACAATGACAATTATAATACACAAGAGTTACTATTGGAACAATAGTATTATACAGGAAAGTTATAATTGATTTTAAATCTGAAATTAAGCATAAAACTGAAAATTATGACTGATAAAACCAAGACTATGTGAAGATCTAAAACATTTTAAATGTTTTGTTGCAACATGTACATGGCTACCTGGCAGGTTTTTCTGATGGGAATATGCATGCCCCTCTATGTTGTCCATTCCAAGAACAAGGACTTAAATATCTGGGATGTAGTTGCTGCCATAATATGCTTGGCTGGCATTGTCATCGCGTATCATGCGGACACACAGCTTCACAGTTTCGTTACTACGAATAATGAACTGAAACGGCTTGGCCAGCCTGTGGTGCCCAATCTTGACAAAGGCCTATGGCAGTACTCGAGGCATCCAAACTATTTTGGGGAGCAGTTATGGTGGTGGGGACTGTTTATCTTTGCGTGGAATTTGGGTTGTGGCTGGAGTTTTATTGGTACCCTTATTAACAGTATGTGCTTAGCATATGTGACTGTTCTTGTGGAGAAGAGAATGCTGGAAAAAGATTACAGGGCTGTTGCATATAGACGGTACCAGAAAACAACATCAGTGTGGATACCATTTTTCAAGAAAACGTACTCTGGAGGGAAAGACAAGAAAATATGATCACACATTTTCAACTCGCTTGGATAGACGTGGGTGGAATAATAAGCTGGCCTCCCGCTGAAGAAAGAAACACTTCCAACGATCTTTGACTAGGTGGGGTAGGTTTCTTTATATCGAGGTGCTTTGTGATTAATTGTATGTCTCTCTTTGAAGGAGTGTATATACTTGCATTACATAGTTGTCTTGTGAATGTTCATGTATTTTGCTTTCAATCTTTAAGTTGAATCAATTATGGATTGTTGGAATACAGTTGCCAGAAATTTGATTCCCCCCTTTTGAAGATTTTTTTCGTTCTTCTTGGGAGCGAACTTTAATTGTTGGTAGTTTATAATGTTCTTCATAAATATATGACAGTTTTGATTCCTCTTGTTTTGAGGTCATATCAGATTATCCATAGCATGTTCTAGTATGTTTGTTAATCTTGAAGTAGTATCAAATATGGGTCGTTGGAATTATTGTTGCCACAAATTTGACATTCCCCCTTTCAAAGATTTTTCATTCTATTTGGATTGAGCGTTAATTGCAACAAGTTGATAGTTCATTGGGATAGATGGACGATGAAAAATTTATCCTAGCAAAGTTTTTTTTTTCTCTCTCTTTCATTGAGGTCATACCAAGTTGTTTCGTCCTTGCTTAAGTGGTATGTCGTAAATCTAGAAGTTAAGTTAAATAAGTGTCATAAATTTGATATCTGTACCCTTTTAAGTTGAAGGGTATAGGTACAAGAAATATTTAATAGATTTCCTATAGGGGAACAAATATCTCCCTGTAATTGGCAGCAGTCAAAATTCGTTAAAGATTTCATGTATGTTTAACTTTATACTTTTTGAATTTTGAAAGAACTTTAATTCTTTTCAAAATCAAATTGCAACTGTTCCACAAACAATTAATTGGTATACATGTAGATGAATAATAATATAATATCCAGTTGAAAAGTAGAGAAAGGGCTCCTGTAAACAGGGGTCGAGCTGGCCACCTGTGATTGGTTGGGGGCTGACCTCTTGTATACATGGGCCCTGTGAAAGTAACAGGGCCGAAAAAGTATGTGTATTTTTGATCTCTACTTTGATTTCATATCTGGTAGCAGGTTTTGTATTTTTTTTTTTTGTCTAAGGAATCAAACTAAAATTTGACTAATTAAAAAAAAAAAAAACTTTTTTTATGAGGTATCTAAAGCTAAATTATTTGTAGTTAATTTAGGAGAAAAATCACATAATTATGAAAATTTCAATGTTATAAGAACTGGATTGGACTTGGACCATCCAGAAAAAATAAAAGGTTCTAAAATTACGTTTAAGAAATAAAAAATGTAAACATCCCCTTTCTTTTAAAAGAGAGAATGCAAAAAGTAATGTTCATCTTGAGGCAGAGGATTCACACAGAACTGGTTTCGTATTGTAGATAAACCGGTTTCGATAAAAAGCATTAAAAATTTTATTAATTACAGTATTTAATGCTTTTGTGCAAGAATGGCAGAGAAAAACATTTATTAGCCTTTATTGTTGACTTTATATTCTTTGTGCCAGAGGAAAATATTTATTCAGTCGTCATTGTTGAAAATTTTGTTGTTTTCTGGCATGTGTACTATTTTATTGGATTTATTTGTTTTATGTGAATGAGTTACTGTAACTTATAAAAAGGGTAATTTGAACAGCATAAAATGTCATTCACATTATTAATGAGAGTATTTAATGATTTTGTGCAAGACATGTTCTGACAATGGAAAAATATTTATTTAACTTTTATAGTTCTTCGTAAATCGTGACAGAAAATTATTTTGTTGCCTAACATTTGTATTTTTTTTATTTATAATTAAATGAAAGAGAATTGATATAAATGAATTAATGATAGTATTTTATTGAATGTATTTGCTTTTTGTAAGTCGGTTACTGTAGAAGCAAAAAATGGTTTCTTGTGGCGGCTAAAGATGTTATTTACATTGATGAATTTGATCAGCCTTCATTGTTGACTTTAGAAGGCGGTACTTGTCTGTAAAAAAAAAAATACCGGTATGATTTTATCACATAAACTATCCATAAATTGAAAGAAAACTTTCAAAATGACAAACTGGTTTCATTTCAGAGAACTGAGTTTCGTGAAATTTTTCTCTTAAACGAAAGGAAGATATTGTTTTTTTTTTTTTTTTTTTTTTTAAAAAACCCGAAATTTTTTTTTAAAAATTTTTTTTGTTGACAAAAGCCGTAAATTGTTTGTAAAATGAATACTCTTTATGTGGACAATCCATCAAATTGCAAAAAGAAGTGAAAAGTTTCTCTATCGACGGAGGAAAGGGACTTCAAGCGGGAGATTGAGAAGTTGAAGGCTAAGGTGAACTTTCTGAAACTTTTTTTTTTTTTTTTTCACTTTTGTCTTCCCTTCAAATTTGTTCATTATCGAGTTTTATAAAAATAATCTTTAATCTTTTGTTGTTAAATCTGTTTGTTGAGTTTGTTTTTATTTTTGAAAATTAGTATTTACTTCATACTTCTTTTAACATTTGATAAACTGTAATGGTTATTCATAGATCAGTTATATTTGTTTCATGATTTTGAAAAGTAGGGAAGTGATGAATTTTTGCTAAATTTGTGAGTGCTGTTTTATAGGATTGAAGACTTGTTGAAATTCTTTTTCAAGATTTATTAATTTCTTTTTGTAGTGCATTAATAAATAGTTTTTTTGTAATAATGATTAGATGGAATTATAAAATAGTTTAGAATGAACGAAAGGAAAAGAAATAACATATAATCAAGAATGATATGGTTAACTATTTTTTTAGACATTTAGAAATTTACAACGACAGATTGAATAACATTATCAAATGTTTTTACTTTTCTATATGGACATATTATCTATTATAGAAGTGAATGGATAAAAATTAGAAAAAGTAGAGAATCTGAGAAAGAAGAAAGCATTAAATGCAGTTTGTCAAAATGAAAATATTGGGTTGGGAAATAAGTATTGTGTTAATCTTGTATCTATAACTATTGTGGATTAACGAAGAAATTTGTGCGTATGATTTTTGATATAATATAGGAATAATGAAAGTTTTGAAAAGTTATTATATTTAAACTATATGTTTTTGCAAGGTGAACCATCTGAAATTTCAAATTTTTTATTTGTTTAATTTGTTTTTTGTCTTTCGTTTTAACTAAAACTATAATTAAACTATTTAATTGTCTAGCATGAGTTCAACCATCTAAAAAAGTTAAAATTTACTTTATTTTTAACGTATTTTTGTTTGCTTGTTTATTTGTTTAGTTAAATTTTTTTTTACCATTATTGTTGTTTACTTTTCTCTTTGTCCTTACTTAAAAGCATATTCATGTATGTTTCTCATTAATATTTAAATTTTGTATTATTGATATTCATATAATTTTTACATTGTTAAAAAGTTGAATGTATTTAATATATCTTTAACAGTTTGTTGTAACTAATTTTTTATTTTTATATATTTTGGTTTTTGTGTATGAATGGTTTAACACATTTGCTAATAATGTTTATGGATTATTTTAGATTGTATTGCTTAGATTGGAGTTGAAATATTTAGTAATTCTTTCCGCTATTGTGATGAATATTTTGGAAACGTCTATTCATGAAGATTATGTTATTGTTAACTTCGATGCTGCGTCTGAAAGTGGGAATGAGTTGCACATAGCCTTCAGTCGCCAACAACGAGTTCGAAGAGAGAGAGAAAGGTGAATAAGATTTAGAAATAATTGTAGTGATTATCATAAAAGAAGAAATGATCCTATGTTATCGGAAAATAATTATTTTATTGTTACTTAGCTACATGAATCCATAATGCATCAAGATTCAAACACTTCAACTTCAAATCAAAAAGCACATAATATTTTTTATTCTGAATTTGAAATAACTTTCAAAGGATTGAACATATCATCTACTGCACATGTATTGCCAACATCCAGTTATTGTAAGCATTGTAATGCATGTAAATTTTATAGAGAAAGTAAAGAGTTTTGTTGTTCAGATGGAAAAGTTAAAATTTTTATATTTGATTCACCAGTTCAATTGTATAATTTATTTACTTCTAAAGAACCACATTGCATGGAATTCAAAAAAATTGAAAGGGGATATAATAATCATTTTGGTTTCACTTCATTTGGTATAAAATACGATAAAGAACTTTTTAAAACGTATAAAGGTATTTACATATTCAAAGTTCAAGGACAAGTGCATCATTATATAAATGAACTTATGCCAAGAAATAATACGCCTTCTTATATGCAGTTATATTTTTACGATACAGAAAACGAAATTGAAAATCTTATGAAAATTTCATCAAACTTTGTTGAATCTACTTTAGTTGATTTAATAGAAATTTTAAAAACAAATCCACATAGTAAATTCTTTAGATCTTTAAATAATACGACTAACTTGCATAATCATCAAATACAAATATGATGTGATCTAGGACTTGATCAAAGAGTTTTCAACACTCTTACAACATTTGAAGTAGTTGCTATATGGGTAAAAGATGATGCAAATGCTAATGTTCGTGCTCGTGATATCACTATATATGGTCATTCTGATGATTCACACAAAATTCATTACTATTATGGATGTTATGATCCATTGCAGTATCCGTTACTTTTTTCATATGGGGAATCTGGTTGGCATGAAAGCATTGAGAGATGTAGAAATATGAGTTTTCAGCCTGATCGTATGTCAACATTGGATGTTTTTTCTAACACAACTACTTCTGCAACTGAAATTATCGAAAAATAGAACGAAGGTTTATAAATATATCCTTTGCTAGAATTTTTTATGTTTTACGTCATCTTACATTATCAAGAAATATTGAATTTAGTTTCCCTTTAGGTTTTGTAGTGCTCAATGAAGTGAAAAAACGTACTCGGGTATCTTGTCGAGAATATTATTCATATAAATTACAAATTAGATCTTCTGGTAAGCCTGTGTTACTTCACGCCGATAGATTTTTCAACAATATGTTGTAGATATGTACGTTAAAATAGAAATTACTAGATTAGATTATTTTCGTAATAACCAAAAACAAATTCATACTGAACTTTACCAAGATATTGTAGATAGTGTTCAAAATGGGGAAATAAGAGGATGCGAAGTTGGAAGAAAATTTGTTTTACCACAATCATTTACATGTGGGCCTTGTGATATGCTAAGAAGATACATGGATGGAATGGCTCTTGTGCAGCGTTATGGAAAATCGGATATATTTTTTTACTATAACATGTAATCCGAATTGGCCAGAGATTAAGTAAGAATTAAAAAACAATGATGAAATTCAAAATCGACCAGATTTAATTGTACGTATATTTAGAGCAAAATCAGAAGAACTGAAACATGATTTATACAAAGCAAATATTTTAGGTCATATTATTGCACATATATACGTGATTGAATTTCAAAAAAGAGGCCTTCCTCGTGCATATATGTTGTTAATATTTAACTCTGGAAATAAAATTACTTACGCTGAAGAAGTTGATAGGATAGTGTCATGTGAAATTCCTAACAAAAACAAATACCCTCGTCTTTATTTTGTTATTGTTAGACATAATATGCATGGTCCTTATGAAAATTTAAATCCGAAAAATGTATGCATGGAGGCAAATAAAAGTTGTAAATATAAATACCCTAGAGATTTTTGTAATATTACCGTTTGGTCAAAGCTCATATCCGTTGTATAAGTGTCGTGATACTAATATTTCTGTTCGAGTTAGGGGCCTAATGTTAGACAATCGATGGGTTGTACCATATAATCCTTATTTAAGTGTGAAATTTGACTGTCACATTAATGTTGAAGTATGTTCTTCTATCAAAACTGTAAAGTATTTGTATAAGTATGTTTACAAAGGATATGATCGTATTAATTTTTCAGTTCTTAAAAATGAAACAAAGAAGGATATAGATGAAATTTTTGCTTATCAATCTGTTATATGGATATCTCCACCTGAAACTATGTGGAGGATTTTTTCTTTTAATATGTCATAAATTTGTCCTACAGTTTACTCTTTACAGCTTCATATTGAAAGTCATCAACAAGTAACATATGACAATGAAGATGATTTATCTACTGTTGTTGAAAATGAAAATAAAAAAAGAACTATGTTAACGAAATTTTTTCGCATGAATAAAGAAAATGAGTTTGCACGTACACTTTTGTATAGAGATTTCCCAATATATTTTGTTTGGTACACGAATAAGAAATTTTGGACTCGCAGAAAGAAACAAGTTGTTATAGGACGAATTGTCATGGTAAATCCATCTGAAGGAGAACGATATTTTCTTCGTGTTCTTTTGAATCATATTCGAGGTCCAACATCGTTTCAAGATTTACGAACTTCAAATGGAGTTACTGTTGTTACATATCGAGAAGCAGTGCTTCTACATGTGTTTATTGAGCGGAGATAATAATTGTGAAGAATATTTATCTGAAGCTATTATTTATGAAATGCCTATTTCTTTAAGGCGTCTATTTGCTATACTTCTTAGCCTCTACAACCCTAATGAACCAAAATTATTGTGGAATACATTTAAATCTTATATGATTGATGATTACATACATGAAAATATTTCTTCACATGATGCTGAACTTCGGGCTTTAAACGATATTAGTTGTATCTTAGAATCTTTAGGTAAAAATATAAACGATTCCGAAATAGTATCATTCAATGTAGTATGAACGAAAATGATAAATTGAGGAGAATGGTTGAAGATGAGACAATAAATCTGAATATTAAAGAAATCTATGTTTGTGCAGCAAGTTTAAATAACAAACAACAAATTGCATATGATATGATTATGGAAAAAAGAACATCGGGATCAAGTGGTGCTTTCTTTATCGATGGTCCAGGCGGCACAGGTAAAATATTTTTATATAAAGCATTGCTAAGTGTTGTAAGGTCTCAAAATGCAATTGCTTTGGCAATTGCGTCTTCTGGAGTAGTTGCATCCCTTCTACCTGGAGGTAGAACTGCTCATTCAAGGTTTAAAATTCTTTTGGAAACAATAGGTGAAATAAGTTACTCTGTAAACAATCTGCTTTAGGAATATTGTTGAAAATGTGCAAGTTAATAATTTGGGATGAAGCTCCTATGGTAAACCAGTGTGCTGTTGAGGCTGTGGATAAAATGCTAAAAGATATTAACGATTGTAATTTGCCTTTCGGTGGTAAAGCTATGGTTCTTAGGGGGGATTTTCGACAAGTTTTACTAATAGTACCAAGAGGGAAAAAAGAAGACATAATTAAAGCTAGCTTAATCTTTTCTGATCTATGGCCTCTATTATTACACGTATCATTAGTTGAAAATATGAGGGCAAAATTTGATCCTATTTTTTGTGATTACTTGTTAAGAATTGGAAACGGAATAGAGCAACAACATTCTTGTAATTGCATTCAACTTCCAAGCAACATAATTGTACAATTTGATGATGAAATAAAATCTTTAAAAACTTTAATATATTATGTTTTTCCAAATATAGAATCATATCTGACAATTTACATACGATGGAAAATCGAGTCATTCTTACGCCTAAAAATGAATGTGTTGATCATATTAATAAGATTTTATTAGAACAAATTTCAGGTGAAATTTTTACATACTATAGTTTTGATGAAGCAATTGATAAATCAGAACAAAGCTTGCAAGAAGATTTCCTTAATAGTTTGACCTCAAATGGTATTCAACCACATGAGTTAAAACTTAAAGTGAATTGTCCAGTCATATTGCTACGAAACATTAATCCTTCTGAAGGGTTATGCAACAAAACACGACTTGCTTGTTGAAAATTTGAGAAAAATGTCATTCTGGTGGAAATTACATCAGGCGAATATTATGGAATTTTTTTTTTTACCAAGAATTCCTTTTATACCACTTCAAAGTGATCAAAGTTCATTTCCATTCAAAAGAACTCAATTTCCAATTAGGTCATGCTTTGCGATGATGATAAATAAAGTACAAGGACAAACACTTGATTTTGTTGGTTTATATCTTACATAGCCAATTTTTTGTCATGGTCAACTTTATGTAGCATTACCAACAGCAAAAACAAGTAAATCTTCAAAAGTTTTAATTAACCCATCAACTGATGAAACTTTGCACAGCAGATGTACTAAAAATGTAGTGTATAACGAAATTCTTTCGTTTATACATCCGTAGAAGATATCATTGAAGCAATACAGGTTTGTTATATTTGTAATAATATTATAAACTTAGTTTTAAATAATTTTGCTGTTAGCTGATAGGTTCTATTTATTTTTTCAGTTGCAACTTTTGTTTAGGTGTGAAAAGGATCCAAAAAATTTTGATCTATCGAGCAACTCAGGTATGTCAATTTTATAGTTTTTCCTTCTATGTTTATAATTTTTGCAGTTTAGATTTGTTTATTTTTTAACTTGCTCTTTCTGGTAGACTGTTACTATGATTTCTTATAATTTGAGCTTCAAATCTACTGTATAACTACGATGTGTCGATTTTATAGTTGTTTTAGTTTAGGTTTTTAAATAATTGTTTGAGTTATCGATTCGTCATCATTTCAGTTTCATATCCTATATATTTTGAACTGATTTTTTTTCCTTTATTTATGTGTGTACAATTTTCTATTCTTAGTTGGTGGAATCAAGAGTCATCGTAGTACTTTATGCTTCAATTGTGAAATTCTTCAAAAAGCAGAAAAATCAAACATAGATAAAATATCTGTGACTTGAGGTATGTTCATTTCATATTATAATTACTGTAAATTGCTTTGTTATGTTGGTTCGACTTTCGTTTCTCTTTGTTCATATTAAGTTTGTTTTTGTTTTATAAAATAATTTCTTAAGTTGATGATTGTTGATTGGTTGAACTTTAAATGTTGTGTTTTTAAGTTATTTCTGTCTCCCTGTTTTAGTGTGCAGAATTTCTGATTTGTAGTTTGAAGATTTCATGTTTGAAATATTTCTGCTATATCCTACCTTTTCTTATAAGACTCTCTTTGTCTTTACTGTTCATTTTTGTAGCCTTCGGTTTCACACCACTGTAGCAAAACTGGTTTGCAGAGCTTTTCTTATTTTCGATTTTAGCAGCCTTTTCTTTATTTTCAACCTTTTAGCCTACTTTTTTTGACCAACCTTCTCTTATAAGACTTCCTTTTTATTTATTGTTCATCTTTTTACTGTTCGTTTTTGTAATTTAGATTTCATAACACTGTAGCAAACTGGTTGCCTTTTCTTATTTTCAACTTTTTTGCAGCCTTTTCTTATTTTCAACTTTTTAGCCTACTTTTTTGACCATTTAGCAAGATATTATCTTTTACATTTTATTTTCTCCAAACCACTTGCATATTGTCGCCGACTCTATTAATCCAATCTGCGTCTCTCTTATACTTCTCCACTTTCATTCTCTCTTGAAAACATTAAACTCCCTAACAATTATACATAAAAAAGAGTTAACGATAGAGTGATTTCAACGACAACGAGGACGAGCGAGATATGTTTTTACTTCTCCTTTTCATGTTGTTGGCTTTTTTTTTTTATATATATATATTGATAAACTAGTTTTCTTGAAGTTAATGTTTCAACCTGAGTGTTGTGATTTTTGTTAGGTAAGATTTTATTTTTAGGGATTTTAGAATTTCATTTGTTTTTGGGATTTTAGATAAATCATTTTAAGGATTTTCATTTGTAGACCGAATGTTTTTTTACTTTAAGACTACTAGAGTTTTTAGTGCCGAGTTCAATTTCTAAGCTCTCTTCTCTTACTTCTCTTATTTTTCTTTCATTTTGAATTCAATCACTCTAGGGCACATTCAAGCGTTTCTACTCAATCATAATCTATCATTTTTTTAGATATTTTTACCAAATATGATTGAAGCAAAAATGATTTCATAGAATAGTTTCAACTTTCTGAAATTTGACAGACGATTATCAAACTTAGTACTATCATGTTGTGTGCATCTCTTAACAAACTTGGAACGGGAAATGACTAAAACGTAACATTTGATAAAATATATGGAATCATAGAATTGCAAAAGTAGTAATATTTACTTATAATAATGCAAAGTGATTAACACTTTTATATTATAATAATAATAATAATAATAATAATAATAATAATAATAATAATAATAATAATAATAATAATAATAATAATAAGTTCTGTAAGACTCATTCAATCTTGTTAGCACAATTGTTGTATATTTTGCTATTGTGAGAGTGCATAAGAACTTTAATAATAGTAGATATTATTGAGCATCAAGTATTTTCTTCATCAACAAAAAATGCAGGAGTCATTTTGAAAGATGAAATTTCTCATAGTAGGAAGAAGTTGGCAACGAGAAAGGATATAAGGTAAGAATGGATTGAAGAGAAGGAATAGTAGGAAATGCTGGTAAAAACATTAAATAGACGCTAAAAAGAAACATAAAAAATGTAAACCTATAGATATCTGACTCCATTCTCCTTTAATATTGAAGATTTTTTTTTCCGACTTCTACATTTAATGGCATCATCTAGCTTCATAATTGGAACAAGTTATAATTTAATCCATATTTCAATTCAATTTTTTACAAATTATGATTCTTAATTGCTTTATTTAATTCAAAAATGGCATGGGAGTTTATTAGCAAATGAGATTTTTTAAATGCATTTCACTGTTGTATCATATTTGTCAGCTGAACACTATTTTCAATTAAAATAGTCATATGTTTAGCTATTATTCAAAAAAGGGCAAATGAATATTAGGGAAAATTTTTAAAATATATATATAAGAAAAACCAACTTATTTTTTTACTTACAAATTATCTTTCATGAATTTTTTTTTTCAAAAACTACAATCACAGAAAGAAAACTTACATTTTCTGTTAACTAAAATTTTAGGCTTATTACATTTAAGCATAGCAAATCATTTATACAAATAAGTTCTTCTCCTTTTTCCTACATGTATATATAACATGAAATGCATGTACATTACTTAAATATTTATATATGTATATATACTACACACTTCAACTTCTCAATTTTTGTTAATTTCGCAATCATTTGTTGTTGTGGTAAAATTTCTATCTTTTAATTTTATGTATGTTCGATGATTTTATATTTTTCTCCTATAGGGAATGAAGAACAAATGTAGACAGTTTAAAATTATGTGTAAAATTGTGATGTATTGCTGTATAGAATTTATTTCGTCAAAATAAATAAATTATAATTTTTGTGTAATATTTATTTGTGATTTCTAATTCAAATGCATGTATTTAATGTGATTTTCATTAAGTTGTATTTATGGTTAACTCAGTACTAGGTACAAGCATTTTGTTGTCCTTATGGGTTCTTCTGAACCATCTGCAAATCAATTATCTGGTTTTTATAACATTGAAAGCGTTCACGAAAGCACAAGTGAATCATATAATCCTTTCATTCGTCAACAAAAAAAGTCAAAGACAGACGGACAGAAGGAATCGAAACCAAATTGTGTGCGTTGATCGTCGTAGAAGAGTAAGCGATCCTAGAGTATCTGAAAATCATAATCTAGGTGCTACTCAAGTTGATCAACATATACTATGTTTTGAATCTGTGCCTTCTACTTCGAATGAAAAATCGACAAATGTTCATCTTCCTGAACTACAAGGAAGTGTTAATTTGTTAAATATACCAAATACTGCATATGTATTACCGACATGCAGTTATTGTAAACATTGTGGTGCACGTAAATTTTACAAGGAAAGTAAAGGTTTTTGTTGCTCTGATGGAAAGTTAAACTATTTATGCCAGATTTACCAACTGAATTATATGATTTATTTACTTCAAAAGAGCCTACATGTATAGAATTCAAAAAGTTGTCACGTGGATATAATAATCACTTTGCGTACACTTCATTTGGTGTAAAGTATGATAAAGAACTTTTTCAAACATATAAAGGTATTTATACATTTAGAGTTCAAGGACAAGTATATCATTATGTAAATAAATTTATGCTAGAAAATAATACGCCTTCTTATATGCAGTTATATTTTTATGACACGGAAAATGAGCTTCAAAATCGCATGAAAATTTCAGAAAATTTAGTTGAATCTACTACGATTATTTTAATTGAAATCTTGAAAGTAAATCCATATAATATTTTTTTTAGGTCTTTAAGTGATATGACAAATCTGCACAATCATCGTATACAAATAAGATGTGACCCAGGAATTGATCAGAGAGTTTTTAATACTCCTTCAACATCTCAAGTAGCTGTATGGGTTGAGGATGATGAAAATACAAATACTCGTATTCATGATATTATTATATATGGTCATTCTGGTGATTCCCATAGAGTTCATTATTATTATGGTTGTTATGATCCATTGCAATATCCTTTAATTTTCCCATTAGGAGAATCTGGTTGGCATGAAGGCATCCAAAGATGCAAAAACATAAATGTTCAGCCTTGTAATTTGATCAATTGTGTTGCGGTTCCTAACACAATAAATTCTGAAATTGAAATTATTGAAAAAGAGGCTGCAAGTTTGTTCATATAATTTTTTGTACAGTTTTTAATTTTTACAATTCACCGTTTTTACTGAATATGAATTCTTTTTTTTTCTTATGCAGTGCTTAATGGAACAAAGAAACGATCTCAAGTTTCTTGTCGTGAATACTATTCATACAAGTTTCAAATTAGGCATTCTGGTAAGTTTGTATTACCTCATATTGGTAGACTTTTTCAACACTATGTTGCAGATATGTACGTTAAAATTGAAACTGCCATGTTAGATTATTTTCGAAAGAATCAGAAACAAATTCGTGCGGAACTCTATCAAGGTATTGTGGATAGTGTTGAAAATGGGGAAACAAAAGGGTACAAGATTGGAAAGAAATTTGTTTTACCACAATCTTTTACATGTGGTCCTAGAAATATGCTAAGAAGATATTTAGACGCAATGACTATTGTTCAACGTTTTGGAAAATCAGATATATTTTTAACTATAACATGCAATCCAAATTGGCCTGAAATTAAGCAAGAACTAAAATATAATGATGAAGTTCAAAATCGACCAGATTTAATTGCATGTATATTTAGAGCAAAATTAGAGGAGTAAAAAATGATTTATGTAAAGAAAATATCTTTGGCCCTGTTGTTGCTCATATATATATGGTTGAATTCCAAAAAAGAGGGCTCCCTCATGCGCATTTGTTATTGATTTTTAATTGTGCCCATAAAATTGTATGTGCTGAGTAAGTTGACAAAATAGTATCTTGTGAAATTCCTGATGAAAATAAGTATTCTCATTTTCATTCTGTTATTGTAAAACATAATATGCATGGTCCATGTGGAAACCTTAATCCAAAGAATGTATATATGCTAAAAACTACTGGTTGTAAAAATAAATATCCTAAAGATTACTGTAACACTACTATATTTGGTGATAATTCATATCCATTGTATAAACGTCGTAATAATGGTATTTTTATTAAAATTAGAGGCCACATGTTAGACAATCCATGGGTTGTTCCATATAATCCTTATTTAAGTGTAAAATTTGACTGTTACATTAACATTGAAGTATTTTCATCTATTAAAGTTGTAAAATATTTGTATAAATATGTATATAAAGGACATAATCACATTAATTTTTTTGTTGGTAAAAATGATAATATGGAAGTTGATGAAATTTCTGCTTATCAATCTGCTAAATGGATATCTCCACCTGAAGCTATGTGGAGAATTTTTTCTTTCAACCTATCAGAAATTTATCCGACTGTTTATTCTTTACAATTTCACATTGAAGATCATCAACAAGTAAGATATACCAATGAAGTTGACTTATGTAGTATTGTTAATAATGAAAATACAAGAAAAACTATGTTAATTGAATTTTTTCGAATAAATAAAATAAACGAATTTGCTCGAACATTGTTGTATAAAGATTTTCCAGCACATTTTGTCTGGAATGCATATAAGAAAATTTGGACTCCTACAAAATAACAACTTGTTATAGGACGAATTGTCACTGCGAATCCAAGTGAAGGGGAGAGATATTTTCTTCGAATTTTTCTTAATCACATTAAAGGGCCAACATCATTCAATGATTTAAAAACTTTGAATGGGGTAACTTATGCTACATATCGAGAAGTAGCACTTGCACATGGTTTTTTAAAGGGAGACAATCATTGTGAAAAATATTTATCTGAAGCTATTGTATATGAAATGTTTGGTTCTTTAAGACATCTTTTTGCTACAATGTTTACGCTTTGTAATCTTGATTATCCAAAGTTACCGTGAGATAAATTTAAATCTGACATGATTGACGATTATGTACATCAAAATATATGTTTGGAAATCGCTAAAGTGCGAGCTTTGGAAGATATTAATTCAATTTTAGAACCTATAGGTAAAGATATCAATGACTATGGAATAATGCCATTTCCTGTAGATATAGATGAAGCTGAGAGATTGAATCGAATGGTTGCAGAAGAAACGATGAATTTTGATGTTGAAGAAGGCCTTGCTTGTGCGACAATAAAGAACAACAAATTGCATATGATACAATAATGGAAAAAGTAAAAACTAAATCAAGTGGTGTTTTTTCATTGATGGTCCGAGGGGGACAGGGAAGACTTTTTTATACAAACCACTTTTAGTTGGCGTAAGATCTCAAAATTTAATTGATTTAGCAACAGCGTCCTCTGGAGTATCTGCATCTCTTTTACCTGGAGGTCGAACAGCTCATTCGAGATTTAAAATTCCTCTAAAAACAGTTGGTGAAGTTAGCTGTTCTGTTAGTAAACAATTCGCTTTGGGAACTTTATTAAAAATGTGTAAACTAATAATTTGGGATGAAGCACTCATGGTAAACCGTCGTGCTATTGAAGCTGTAGAGAAAATGCTTAGAGATGTTACTGATTGTGACTTGCCTTTCGGTAGGAAAGTCATAATTCTTGGAGGAGATTTTCGACAGGTTCTACCAGTAGTACCAAGAGGGAAAAAAGAAGACATGATGAAAGCTAGCTTAGTTTTCTTAGATTTATGGCCTTTATATTTACAACTACCTTTAGTTGAAAATATGAGAGCAAAATTAGATCCTGTGTTTTGTGATTACTTACTTAGAATTGGAGATGAGACAGAAAAAGAACATAGTTGTGATTGTATTCAACTTTCAAATAGTATAATTTTACCATTTGAAGATGAAATTACATCTTTAAAAAATTTAATATATCATGTTTTTCCAAATATAGAAGTATATGCTGATCATTTACATGGCATGATGAACAGAGTTATACTTACTCCTAAAAATGAATGTGTTCATTATATTAACAAAATTTTGCTCGATCAAATTCCTGGTGAAATTTTTACATACTATAGTTTTGATGAAGTAATTGACAAATCAGAATAAAGCTTGCAGGAAGATTTTTTGAATAGTTTGACACCAAATGGTATTCCACCACATGAATTAAAACTTAAGGTAAATTGTCCAGTAATATTATTGCGGAATATCAATCTTTCTGAAAGTTTATGTAATGGGATACGCCTTACTTGTCGAAAATTTAATAGAAATGAGATTTTGGCTGAAATCACAATTGGTGAATATCGTGGAAAATATGTGTTTTTACCAATGATTCATTTTGTACCTCTTCAAAATGATCGAAACTCAATTCAAAGAGAACTCAATTCCCAATTAGACCTTGCTTTGCAATGACAATAAATTAAACAAAAAGTCAAACTTTAGATTTTGTTGGTTTATACCTTCCAGAACCAGTTTTTTGCCATGGTCAACTATATGTAGCATTATCGAGAGCAAAAACAAATAAATCTTTGAAAGTTTTACTCAAACCGTCAAATGCAGACAATTTACATAACGCATGCACTAAGAATGTAGTGTATAAAGAAATTTTTTCATTTATACATTTATAAAACTACAATCTTTTCATAGGTATGTGTTTATTTTTGTTCTCAAATTCAATATGTTTTATTATTATTCATTAGTTTCATTGTTTTTATATAAGTTATAAAGATTAAATATCTAGATTTACATCTTCTGTTAATTGGTTTGAAATCTGCCTTAAATTCAAGAGGGTTAACTAAATATTTAGCGTCATTTATATAAATAACTTTCATTTGATATGCTTTACTTTTATGTTGCTTTTTCTCTTTATTGATTTTTACTACAGTTTCAACTACTTTATGTTTTTTTTCTTATTGTTTATTTAAAGATGGAAACTTTTACCTGTAGTAACAAGTGAGTGCTAACTTACATTTTCACCTTTATACCAGCAAACATGTTATCCATCAAAATATAGTTTCTATTTGTATGGTAAAGGATGAAGATAAATTAATTTTAATGAACTTCTTAACAAGATTAATCACATTCTTTTCTTTTTATTCCTGGTAATGGTGGAAGTTACAAATATAGAAGTCCCTTTTCATTTATTTTTAATTGTCAAGCATATTTTCGATCATTTCTTAGGATGAATACCAAACTCAAGTTAGTCATGTTTTTGTTCGTGTCTTTGTATTTTCTATACTAATAAATGTTAAAAATATATTACTATTTGTATTTATTGGTGAGTACACTTTTATTAAGATTTTTTTTTTCTAAATAGGTAGAATGAACAATTTACTCAATACATAATGTCGGTAGTTTTGTATTATTAAAACAATCTTATATGATAATGCAATGCTGTATGAGTTATAATTTTTTATAGTTCTCAAGTTATATGATAATGATGAAAGGAAATGCTTTATTTGTAAATTGATTTAAAATGCTTAAAATTTAAATTAATATTCGCTAATTGAGTATTTATTGTTTTACTACTTTTTCCTTATTCATTAGGTGACATCACTGATTGCGGAATGTCATAGAGCTTATGAAAAAGACGTACTGTTATGCAGCCTACTACGATGATTTAAATTGCTTTAAATTAATTCTTTTTGCTACTCATTAGACTTCGATCGTATAGTCTTGGTAACTATTTCTTCCCAATGTTGTCTTATATTAACATATACACTAATGTTTGTCTATTTAAAACAATAAGCTAATTATCGTTCTCAAATGAAAGGTCGAGGCATTTTTCAAATTTGTGAGTATAAGAGATGAAAGTGTTGCAACTCCTAAAAGAATTCCATCCACAAAAGGTATGTTTATTACTTTTCACATGTCTCTTTGATCTCTTTCCATTCAAGAATATTTGAAAATCTTCTCATATTCTTCTATTTCATGAATTTTCGAATTTTTTATCATTTGATTTTATCGTTCCATAGATTTTTTTTGTTGAAAAGTACTGACGTCTACGACTTTTTTTAGTTTTGTTTTGTAGAGTTTTGAGAATAATTCATTCTGAGAAGAAAAATATAAATTTTGTGTGTGGATTTAGAAGATTATGCTTTATTATATTTTGAGTAATCCAGTATACACTAAACTAAATGTGTGAATGATGAATTTTTCAAAGTTCAGCCTATTATTGCAAATCCCTCTACTTATGGTTAGAAATTGTAATGTTGATGTATATAAATAATAAAGTTTCAATAAGTTTAATTTTTTTATAAAATTTAGTTTGTAGTAGAATCATTTTACTAGAATTTGTAACTTAGAACTCCAGAAAGAGAATTCAATAATAAGCTTTCTTATCTGTGTTACATTATTGTTCATAATACATTACTTGCATTTCAAGGTTTCAACCATTTTATGCTTTTTTTTTTCTTACTGTTTATTTAAAGATAAAAACTTTTATCTAGAATAACAAGTGATTGTTAACTTTCATTTTCATTTTTATACCAGCAAATATGTCATCCATCAAATATAGTTTATATTTGTATGGTAAAGGATGAAGAAAGATTAATTTTATTGAACTTCTTAACAAGTTTAATCACATTCATTTTTATTCCTAGTAATAGTGGAAGTTAAAAACATAGAAGTCCCTTCTTATTTATTTTTAATTGTTAAGCATATTTTCGGATCATTTCTTAGGATGAATAGCAAAATACAATTCGTCATAAACTTAATCATGCTCATTAAAAGAAATTAGCAATTAGTCATTTAATAGTTTGTCTTTTTCTTTTTCTTTTTTGTGTCTTCGTATTTCTTATGCTAATAAATGTTAAAAATATATTATTATTTGTATTTATTGGTGAGTAGACACTTCTGTAAAGAAAACTTTTTTCTAAATAGGTAAAGTGAACAATTTACTCGATACATAGAGTCGGTAGTTTTGTATTATTAAAACATACTTATATGATGATGCAATGCTTTATGGGTTATTAATTTTTATATAATTCTTAAGTTATATAATAGTGATGAAAGCAAATGCTTTATTTGTAAATTAATTTAGAATGCTTAAAATTTAAATTGATATTCGCTAATTGAGTATTTATTATTTTACTACTTTTTCCTCATTGATTAGGTGACATCACTTGTTGTGGAATGTAATAGAGTTTATGAAAAAAAAATACTGTTGTGCAGCCTATTACGATGATGTAAATTGCTTAAAATTAATTCTTTCTACTACTCATTAGATTTCGATTGCATAATCTTGGTAACTATTTCTTGTTAATGACGTCTTATATTAACATATACACTAATGTTTGTCTATTCAAAACAATAAGCTAATTATCGTTCTCAAATGAAAGGTCGAGGCATTTTTCAAATTTGTTAGTAAAAGAGATGGAAGTGTTGCAACTCCTAAAAGAATTCCATCCACAAAAGGTACGTTTTTTACTTTTCATACACCTCTTTGATCTCTTTTTATTTAAGAATATTTGAAAATTTTCTCATGTTCTTTTGTTTCATGAATTTTTGGATTTTTTATCATCTGATTTTATCGCTCCATCTATTTTTTTTGGTTGAAAAGTACTATAGCTGAGACTTTTTTCAGTTTTATTTTGTAAGGTTTTAAGAAATTAATTCATTCTGAGAAGAAAAGTATAAATTTTGTGTGTGCATTTAGAGGATTATGCTTTATTATATTTTAAGTAGTCCAGCATGCAAAAAACCAAACGTGAGAATGATGATTTTTTCAAAGTTCAGTCTATTATTGCAAATCCCTCTACTTATGGTTAGAAATTATAATGTTGATGTATTTGAATAATAAAATTTCAATAAGTTTATTTTTTAATAAAATATAGTCTATAGTGGAATTATTTTACCAGAATTTGTAACTTATAACTCAAGAAAGAAAATTCAATAATAAGCTTTCTTATTTACATTACATTATTGTTGCGTGTTGTCACACTTGTCCTATCCACCTGGGCCAGTAGGCCACTCATCCTGATCCACGCGGCATTCCTGCCGAGGTGGCCCACATTGTCGAGGTGGGTTACACCCGAACTGCTTCTAACCGAGGCCCATGGCCCGAGGCGTGGAAGGTTTTGTTGTAGCTGAGGTCCTCGAATGGACGAAGCCCCGAAGTTGATGCGCGAGCCTCAACCACAAGGAAACATCCTCCATGGTCACTTCTCCCAAGGGATCCCCTGCACAGATCTTATTCGAATGATTGATGGAATGTTTGTCATAAGCATAAAGGTCAAGTCTTGTCACTAGCGTGGAGGTCCTGCACAAACAATAAATGCGCCGTAAGCTAGCAAGTCAAATCCCATGCCTATGAACAGACATTTAAACTATGGAGATGAGGCCACGTGCCACTTCATCCAAGGGTCCCCATTCCATATGTATCACTATAAATACCCCCATTGTATAGTGTCAAAGAACTAATGCAAGAATCAATACTAAAGACTGCATTTACTCAACTCTCTCTCATTCACTTGCAATACACAAATCGAGTCTATACACTTTTACTTATACATTTACGAGCACCGGTTGGTAATTATTGTACAATCGGATTACGAACAACCCGTCGAATTCCGAACGTTACCGTCCCGCGTCGTTGGGCTACTCCCACGCCCCTTTGAACCGCTTGTTTTAGACCGTCCACGTGTCTTAGCGTGTTGGACATTCGCCCACGCAAGCGCGGGTGGGACCGGCATCTGTTGGCGCACTTTTTGGGGTCAACAGATTGGCGTCGTCTGTGGGAAACCATACCATAACCACGAGCAACCTTGTGGTAAAAGCTTGCTGAAAAAAATATTTGGGCAACCCCCCTTGAAAAAGGATTTGTTCTTGAAAAAGAACAGGAGGAACCCCTACCACTTGGAGAAATCTAAGTTTGATAAAGGAAAAAATGAGTTCTAACGAAGATACTCCCCCAAGGAGGGTAAGAGAAAACACGAATGTGCCTCCCCAGCCTGCTGCCCCAGCAGCTCGGCAGAGGCTCCACCACCACCAACGGAGAGGTGGGATGCGTGCGACGGCATGAATATCAAGAGAAATGGCCACTATGGCAGCCAACATGAGGGATATAGCCAACTAAAACTTGGCCATGAGGGAGCTCACGACCCAGATGCAAGGCCAAGGAGGTTTCCCCATTCCTCCATATGCCCCCCATGGGCACTATCAGCAAGAGGACGAGGTCCAAAGTCATAGAGCAACCTCGCCAGACTATGGCCGAGGTAAAAGTCCATTTGTGAGGGAAGTGGGAGTTGACATTTCCTCCAATTATGCATCTGGCCAACCCTCCGAGGTCCAAATGAGCCATGATAACTTCCCACCTCCGTATGAGCAAGACCCAAGACAGAGGAGAGCAGGAAGTGTTTTTGACAGAATCAGCCCTGCCGAACCAAGGCCCAGTCAACAGCAGGCTTAGCAGCCTCGGACGAGGCCACAGCCTCCACCACCGATGCCCCAACGGCCGGAGAGAAGGCATGAAAATGCCCCCCGCGCTGTCCCGCCTAAAAGTAGGCCGCAAAGGAGAGAGGAAAAGGCTAGGAACCGGCCAGGACCCTCTCACCAACAACCTAGGTACGAGGCCGAAGATTACGATTCTGATGAGCAACAGAGGTCCTGTGACTTGGAAGATGATGATGAGAACCTGCCATTCTCAAGAGAACTAAGAGATGCCCAGGTCCCGAGCCACTATGTCATGCCGAAAATACCAAAGTATGACGGGAGAGGTGACCCAGAAAAGCACCTCAACGCTTACAAAACTCACATGAGCCTGAGGGGCGCCACTCCAGCTGTGAAGTGCAGAGCATTCCACTTAACCCTCAGTGGAGCGGCTGAAATCTGGTATAGCAGGTTACCATCTGGGAGCATCCGAAGCTGGCCCGATTTCAAAACTACCTTCTTGAAGAGGTTTGCAGTGAGCAAGGAAGGAGAGGCCCCCATTCAGCATCTTCAAGACATGAGACAGGCACATGGCGAGTCCTTGAAAAGCTTCCTATCCCGCTTCACCGACGAGATGACCTACTGTGTACAAGTCACCGACAGGGAAGCACTATCTGCATTGAGAGGAGGATTGAACATGAACACCCTATTCTGGAGGGATGTGCAGAATCAAGACCCAACCACCGATGACGCCCTACTAGAGATGATGAGAAGGGAGATAATCAATGAAGAATTGATTGAGCATAGAAACAAGGCAAGCAGGGGCCTCCCACCTCCTCAGAGACAGCAAGGTAGGGGTCCGACCTCCCACCTCATGGACTACCAGATGAACCGATCTGGAAATGAGAACTCCGGCCAAGCTCCGGCCACCACAACTCTGAACGCGGTACCAACCTTGGCGTATGAGGATGTCAGCCCAACCGCTGACCCACATCAGATGCAGGCCCAGCAGGAACCCCGTAGGGGGAGAGGCCGAGGTCGAGGTTTTGCACCTAGAAATAGGTCCAATCCGAACCTCTCTGGATACTATTTGCACCATAGGTCCTACGGGCACGACACCGCGGATTGCAGAGACTATGCACACCGCTCGCGGCAGGAACCCGCCAGAGAAAGACATAACTCGCCCCAGACGAACAGGCCCCCGCCCAGGTAAGACAACCGACATGGGCGTGAGGCGGCTGCTCCTCGTCAAAGGGATGTCTCTCCAAGGCAAAGAGAGCAAGACACGGAGAGGCCCAGGGAAGGGCATAGACACCGAAGAAACAGGCAGGCTCAAGATGAGGCCCCTATCCACGAGATAGATACCATATTTGGAGGCCCTTATGTCGGCGGTGAAACACGGAACGCCAAAAGAAACTATGCTAGGGAGGCTAAGTACCCCCCTCTGACAAGTTACATTGTGGATAATAGCTCTCGGAGAAATCAAGCACCACCCATTTTCTTCACCCAGGAAGACGCCGAAGGAGTTCATTACCCCCACTGCGATGCGCTGGTGGTGAGGGCTGTCATAGCCTGAAATGGACTCAAACGAATGCTAGTCGACAACGGCAGCTCCGTCAACATCTTATTCGGGTCCGCCTTTGACAAGATGATATTGGACCACCAGTTGACGCCCACCACCACTCCATTGTACAGATTTACTGGAGATAGCATCACGCCGAGGGGAAAGATAACACTGACAGTAGAGATGGGAGAATCTCCTCAAACTACGATGAACTTTATGGAGTTCCTCATAGTCGACAGCCGGTCGGCTTACCATGGAGTCTTGGGCAGACTGGCTCTAAAGGAATTGGGAGCAGTCACCTCCATCCACCACCTATGCATGAAATTCCCAACAGAAAAGGGGGTGGCAATGGTGAGAGGCGACCAGAGAGGTTCGCGAGAGTGCTATCTGAGCTCCATTAAGAAGGTGGAGCCTCGGGACATCCATGTGATCGCGGCTGATGTGGTCATGGCGGATGTCCCAGGTGACGCTCCAACTGACCAGGAAGATGTTGATATGATCGACGTACCCCTCATTCCGGAGGCGCTGATCGTTGATGAGATCGACCCTCGCATAATGGAACATGAGCCTCAAGTATCCCCTGTAGAGGAACTTGAGAGCTTCTCAGCCGACCCTCGAGATCCGTCCAAGGTACTGAAAGTAGGCAGTGGTTTATCCGACATTTTCAGAGAAAAGATTAAGGATTTTCTAGGCAAGAACCTGGACGTCTTCGCCTGGAGGCATGAAAACATGGTGGGCATAGACCCCAAGGTCAGCTGTCATCACTTGAAAATTGATCCTAATTTTGCCCCACATAGGCAAAAAAGGAGAGCCCTCAACCCAGAAAGGTATGAGGCTCTGAAGGAAGAGGTTCAGAAGCTGATCCAAAATGGCTTCATCAGGGAGGCCACCTACCCGAAGTGGGTCTCCAACCCGGTCTTGGTTAAGAAACACAATGGCAAATGACGAGTATGCATCGACTTCACCAACCTTAATAGAGCTTGCCCGAAAGATAGCTTTCCGCTTCCAAGGATTGACCAATTGGTGGACTCCACGGCTGGGCACGAGTTATTGAGCTTCATGGATGCATACTCCGGGTACAACCAGATCCCCATGCACCCGGCCGATGAGGAGCACACCTCTTTCATCACGGATCGAGGCCTCTATTGCTATAGAATGATGCCTTTCGGGTTGAAGAATGCCGGAGCAACTTACCAAAGACTCGTGA